AGTAGTAGCAGCAGCAGCAGTAGTAGCATTAGTAGCAGTAGCTGCAGTAGTCGTAGTAGCAGTAGTAGTAGTAGTAGGAGTAGGAGTAGCAGTAGCAGTAGCAGTAGCAGTAGCAGTAGCAGTAGTAGCACTAGCACTAGCACTAGCACTAGCACTTGCAGTAGTAGTAGTAGCAGTAGTAGTAGTAGTAGTAGTAGTAGTAGTAGTAGTAGTCGTCGGAGTCGGAGTCGTAGTCGTAGTCGTAGTCGTAGTCGTAGTCGTAGTGGTAGTAGTAGTAGTAGTAGTAGTAGTAGTAGTAGTAGTAGTAGTACTAGTACAAGTACTAGTACTAGTACTAGTACTAGTACTAGTACTGGTAGTACTAGTAGTACTGATAGTACTACAACAACAACGACGACTACTACTACTACTACTACTACTACCCCTGCTTTTGCTACTATTACTACTACTACTACTACTACTACTACTGCTGCTACTGCTACTACTACTACTACTACTACTACTGCTGCCACTACTACGACTACTGCTACTACTACTACTACTACTACTACTACTACTACTACTAATGCTACTACTACTACTACTACTACTACTACGGACATCATGTGTTGACGGCTTGCATTGCAGGCAAGCGCTATCGATGACGCTAGTCCAGATTTTCCCAGGACGCCCCACGTCTTCTCCTTGTCACTGGAGCCACCTCTCGTCTCGGCACGTCCTTCGCACGGCGAGTGGCCGAAGAGAATGCCTTCGACAGGTGGGGCGAATCAGCGGACTTGAATTGCTTTGCGCAGGAAAACAGTAATTAGAAGGACTGTGCAGACTGGTTGTAGGAATGTGACGTGTTGACGTGTCAGATTCAGATGGCCTCAACCCTTGATCTATGGCTGTCCAAACTCCTGACTCCATCCATCTTCAGCAGCCCAGCTGCTCATTCATCGTTTCGATTCTCGACAGAGAGCCACTGAAATTGTCAGGCTTATGCCCTGAACAGACATGGTTCTGAAGTATATATTTGGATATACAGGAAATCTCTTACAACCAAAACGACTGTGCCATCTCGATCAGCATCACCCATGTTTGTCGTCACCTTCTGTACCCCAAGGTGTTCCATTTCATCACGATGTTGCGGCCAAATGATATATATATATATATACACATACATATATATGCATATATATATATATATGTACATGTGTATATCTACATATACACATGTACATAAAGGTTTTTGGGACAGGACTTGGCTGCAGTGACCCTTAGCATCCCAATTTCCTTTGTGACTTTTCAAAGTGCATGCACCAACTCGTGCTCGCCAACTGTGGTTTGGATCGTTGTGTTGAACTGCAGCCGTTGATCTGCAGCTGGTGATAGTACCTGTGCCCGAAGCATAGGGGGGAAAATGTGCACTCGTTGGCTCGTGCCTCTGAGAGAGGCAATGTTGAAACCGTGCCATTGCTTTTGTTCGAGCTGGATTGAGCAAAGGGTTGAGCGGTGTTTCTGCAAGCGACAACGGGCATGCAGACATTGAGCACATGCTTTCGGAGGCAGCGACTAATCCAACTTTCAGGTACATCAGTGTTGGCGGCAGACCTTATTCGGGCAGGTGGCGGCTACATTCAGGTCGCACACATGCTCCTGAAAGTAGTCGCCATTCTGCATTTGAAGGGTGTCGTTGGTGGCAGCATTACTCTTGTACATGCATGCGACCAAGCTAAACGCTGAGATTGCATACATGCGCTCGGAAGCTTGGGCCAACAGGGACGGGAATCATGTCCTTGATGACAACACAGCCCTCATGCCTTCATGCGAGAGACGCCGTTTTGACGCTCCTCGCACGCTCGTGGAAGCTGGTGCCAACATCAGAGAGCACCGTGACCAAGCCCACATTGAGATTGCCGGCATGGGTTTGGCAGGTGCAAACCCGGTTCCCTTAATGTCATGAGAAGCCTATACTCATGCTTCTAACCAAGATGACTTGGCGGTAGCACTCATGCTCTTGGAAGCTGGTGAATACTACAGGATCCAAGATGTTGACGGCGAGAGAGTTGTCGATTCTTTCGCGACCAAGAGGAGAGTCTGCAGCTGCTCTCCCTGCTGATCATTCTGTGAACTTGAGACAAGGCAGGAAAGTGAAACACGGGCAGAAGGACATCGTGTATTCATGCGACCAGGAGCTCATCCGTTTTGATTGTGCCTCTTGTTCGAAGCCAGTGCCCGCATGATCAGTTCCAGCGACGACGGACAGGCAACTCTTGCTTTCACACGTGGTCAAAGCCATGTTTACACTGGGATTGTTTCTTGAATCCGATACCAACCTGGAATGCAAAAAGGATCCAGTGGCCAACTCTAATGTGGTTTGACTTGGAGGCTTCCGCAACTAAGACGATAAATTGGTTGCCTGTGGCCGCTCTTGGTTCGAAGTTAGTTTGAGAGCGGAAGATACTGGCAGTTGGTGTCGTTTGCTTCGTATGAGTTTAGTGTATAGTGCCATTGTGGGCATGGCCTATGGTTTGATATGCTGTTTGCCGGTAGAAGGTGAGTGCATGTTTCTTGTAGAGCCTGTTGTTTCGTAAAATTTGTACAGCTACCCTTTTGTTTCCGGGAAACACAGACCGCGGAGTTCATCCTGCTTGCGGATGCTAGCTGGCAAGTAAGACATCGTCTCAAGTCTCAAGGCTCGACCTTGGTGAATGCTTTTGTTGGATTGGTTGCCCTGCTGGATTCCTATACTAGAGAGGACCTGAGCAAAACTCTTGCTTCTTGGCTTTAGCTTTTAGCCGGACCCAAAGAGGGTTTTGCGCTTAGGGCCTTAGGGTGCTATGAGTGGAGTTGACGGTGTATTGTCCTTTCTGCTGACCTTGGTTTGGCGGCACAGCATGGCTCCATCCCAATAGGCGGACAAAGCCTTCCAGTCCAAGGGCTCACTTTGCAGAATGAACTCTGCGCGAGAGCATTGGAGGATGCTGCTTTGCGGCCGCAACCGTCGAAAGGGTGAGGCCCTCGCCGCGGAGCTCGCAGCTGTGCCTGAGCTTGAAGATGGACATGCGGATCAGATAGCGAGTGTAGCAAGCTTGCTGTGCAATCAATTGGACATTCACACACCGGTACGAACCCACACACACACACACAGAGACAAAC